AATCTCTTCACCATCCATCCTGATGCTGCCACTTGGTCCAGTGGTGAGAATCTTTGTCTTCTTGACATTGAGCCTCAATCCATATTGGACCTAACATTATACCTGGTAAAAAACAATACCTATGTATAAGATTCTCTGATCATGGGTGGGTGGGTAAGGGGGGCTGCCACTGTAAAGATGAAGATGCTAACAATACCAATTAAAGTTCAAAATCACAAGTTTATCATGGCTAACTCGAGTCCTTATTCTCAGTCTTTCTCCAATTTGTGCCTCAGTACTCTGTGATACAAACTAGCTACACTGTTTGCCAGTTATCCCAGGAGAAGGAGCATATATGGGATGATGATCAGTCTGTTCAATTCTAAGTGGAAATTAGGCCTGACTTGCTCTTTACTATATCCATGGTGCCAAGAACAGTACTCAGTACATACTGTCAACAGAGTGTGCTTAACAAAAACACTGCCATCCAATACTCTGGAAACATTTGTCTGCAGCATTTCACATCCTAATCCCTTTGTTGCTGTTGTGTAACAGTAGAGTCAGAACTGACCTATAGCTGACCCTCCAGCAGGTTTTCAGAGGCAGTTAATAGCACAGGAAGAGATTGCCCATCCTTCTCTCACGGAGTAGCAGGTGGCCTCAAACTGCATGTCTTCAGGATTGCAGCACAGCATCTTACCACCAGAGATCCCTATATTTTGTATTGTTGCTGCTGTTATGTGCCATTGACTCATGGTGACCCTATGTACAATAGCTCTAAAGCCTGTGCTGTCCTGAGCCAGTCTCATTCATTGACTCTGATCCACCTACCCCCATTGCCCTAGTTACTGTATACATCCATTTCATCTAGGGGATCCTCCTCTTCTGCGCTGTCCCTTCACCCTTGCGAGCATGATGTCGTTCTCCAAAAATAGGTCCCTCCTGGACACATCCTCAAGGTATGTGAGATGGAGCTTCAAAATTCTTCGTATTAAATGTGGTTTATTTTTCTTTCCCTTCTTTTCTGTTTACTAGGTGTTGTGGTGTCGAATGGGAACCAACCCATAGCTGATCTCCCAGCAGGTTTTAAGAGGCAGTAAACCACAAGGGAGAAGATGGCCCATCATTTTCTCGTGGAGCAGCTGGTAGATTTCAAATCGTATGCCTTCGGAATTTTAGCACAGCTTCTTACCACTAGGCCAAAATATCAATGACATCATGGACTACATCCTGTTGATACCGGAGATATTTGTTTCCTTAAACACTTTTTGCTAATCACTCAACGGTAGTGAAAGGACTGGGGATGTAGTTAATGTGATTTGTAAAAGCTTCAAGTACATCTTCAAATAAATTCAGCCAAATAAGAAATCAGGAGAAAAATTTCTATTAGCAAGCTAGATCCACAGGCCACAGCGCAACTTTTCCCAAATTGTCCATCAACATCCATTTAGCATTAAATATTTACTGAACACCTGTTAAGTGCCCAAGTGTTAACGCTGGCTGCAGAATGGGACATTGAACAGTTGTGAGAGCATTCCCGCACTTAAATGACTTTCATTTTACATGCATCCTATCCTCCACATTGCAGATAAAGAAGAGTTCTAGGGTTGAGAGCAATAATACCCAAGGGCTGTTACTTGCAGGTAAAAGAGATGGGGAGAGAAGCTATTTACTTACAGAGATCAAAACCCATAGTCAATCCTATCACTCCTTAATTAGAATCCCAATGACAGCTTAACCCCTCCTTCCAGGTCCCAAGGAAATGGGCTCTGGGCCAGTTTCATCTCTTGGATTCGGGGACCCACACATGTCAGGGTCGGGCCATCCCTCCAGACCGGCGCCCCTGCCCCCCACCTGATCGATGTACTGGCGGACACGCTTCCGCAGCCGCTCCAGGTTCATGATCGTGCGGGCCCGGGAGGCGCGCGCCACTGCGCGGGGACAGAGCGTCACACTCAGCTGCTCCGGCACACACCGCTGTCTCGATCTGTGCCCCTCTTTCCGGTTACTCTCCGGGTCTCTTCCTCCAAACGCGATCTGCTGCTAAACCACCACTCTGACTCGGATCCTTGGTGCCGCGCTGCCGGCCAGGCCACGCCCCCGGTGTATCCTCCTCAAATCCATCCCCCACCGGAGCAGGAAACAAGGGTCGCGCCATTGGTTCCGAGGTGTTCTGTTCTTCCTCCTCGTTTCTAGCACTTTGTGGAGCTGGCTGCTTGAGTAGGGGTCATTCTGGGCAAGCTTTGTCCAGTCTCTCCTTTCAGACTTTAGCCTTAGGAGGACATTTATTTGTTAATGTAGTCGTTCATGCATCAGTTTCTTTTCGGTGAGTCTTGGTTGCCAGCCTTAATGAGAACTCAAGTGACAGGTCTTATTTGCTTGGAGGGAGCTACAATAGCTTGTCAAGTTAGATCCACCAGCTGCTCTGCTGAAGAAAGAGTGGCAATCTCCCGTGCGATTGATCTGTCTCTGAAAATCTGCTAAAGGGTCAGTTATGAATCCTTTCCGACTAGATGGTACATAACATTTGCTTGAGGAAACTAGGAAAAAAGTTATGCAAAGTGGGATCAGAATGAATAGTAATTATAAGCCTGGCCTCTACAAAGTAAATTGGATTAGAATGCAGTTTCCACTTTCTTGCTGAGTTTTATGTTGGACTGTGGATTTCTCCCCTATCGGCGCCCCTTTGGTTGGAGCCTTGCCTCCTCCTATCCCAGTTCTATGGGGATTTGAAAATCGAGGACTGGGATCATCTCCCCACACCCACCCCGACTTGCTTCCACTGTGTTTTTGTAAGTGAATAAAGTTTAATATCCTTTTTCCAGTTTTAACTGACCATCTCCACATGTGAGTTCAATTCGTCAGCTCTCTGATCTTGGCAAACCTGGCGGGTTCGTTTTTCTGAGACTTGGCTGCATCATCTGTTAAATGAGATGATAAATTACCTTGTAAAATTATGACAATGAAATAAAATCCTATAGATGAAAAATTTAGTAATATATCCAAGATATTTTACTAAAATGTCTTATCAAATGGGAAACATTGAGAAGCCAGGGAGTTCCACAACACTTAATAATGACTCTTCCGAGATCTGGAAGCTATTGTTAGAACAGAGCAAGGGAACATTGCATGCGTTAATATCAAGAAAGGTGTGCGTATTCTCCATACCTATCTGTATGCTGAGAAAATTATTTGAGAAGCTGGGCTTTATGAAGAGGAATGTAGCATCAAGATCAAAGGAAGATTCAGCCTGCACTTTGCAGTGACACACCTTGCTTGCTACAGAGGAGTAAAGACTACAGCCTTCAATATAGACTACATCTCAGCATCAAAAAGACAAAAATCCTTACCACTAGACCAATAGGCAGCATCATGATAAAAGGAGAAAATACTGAAGTTGCCAACAAACAGTATCTTGTTCCTTGAATCCATAGTCAACACCCTTGGTACTGTTGTTGTAATGTGCTGTTGAGTCGCTTGAGCTCAGTGTGCAAGAGCTCTGAACCCTGCTCTATCTGATGCCAAAGTTATTGTTCCTGACACACTGAATCAGTCAATCTAATCGAAGGTCTTCCTCTCTTGTTCTGTCTGTCCCTCTACCCTCCCAAGCATGAGGTCCCTTTCCAAGGATGAGTCACTCCTTGCAACATGCCCAAAGTATGTCAGACAAAGCTTCAGAATTCTTGCCTCCAAGGAACAGCTTGGTTTCACCCTCTCTAGAACGAACTTATTTATTCTCCTAGCAGTCCTTGTTATATTCAATACTCTTCCCCAGCACCACAGCTCAAAGGAATCAATTCTCCTTTTGTCATCTCTAGTCATTGTCCAGCTTTCTGACACATGGCCTGGATTAAGTGTGCACCTTTGTCTCCAGACTGACATCGTTGCTCTTCAATACTCTAGAGAGGTCCCTGACAGCATTCTTTCCCAATGCAATTCGTCTTTTGATTTCCTGTCTGCTGGTACCCAAGTGTTGATTGTGGAACCAAGCAAACTAAAGCTGTTTAATAATCTCAATCTGTTCACCATCTATCACAATACTGCCCAGTGGTGAGACTCTTTGTTTTCTTGATGTTGAGCTTCAATCCATAATGGAGGCTGTAGTCCTTGGCCTTCTGCAGTGTTTCAGGTCCTTCTCAGTTTCAGCAATCAGGGTTGTGTCATCTGCATAATACAGATTGTTAATGAGTCTTTCTCCAATGCTGCTGCCACGTTCCTCATCATAGAGCCCAACCTCCTGGATGATCTGCATATAGATTGAAAAGGTATGGAGATAGGACATATCTCTGGCATACTGCCTTCTCAATTTTGAACTATGCAGTGTTTCCTTGCTCTATTCTGACAACTGTCTCCTGGTCCAAGTATAGGTTTCACATAAGCACAATCAAATGATCTGGGATTCCCATTCTTCTTAGAGTCAGTCACAATTTGTTGTGATCCACACAGTCAAATGCCTTTGCATAGTCAATGAAACACAGATAGACATTCCTCTGGTATTCTCTGCTTTCAGCCAAGATCCATCTGACATTCGTAATAATATCACTAGTGCCATGGCCTCTTCTAAACCCAGCTTGCACCCTTGGTACTAGCATTCAAGAAATCAAAGTATGTGTTGCATTGGGAAAATCTGATGTCTAGGACTTCTCCAAAATAGTAAGGAATAGTGATGTTAGTCTGAAGACTATTCCTGATTCTGGCAATAGTCTTTTCAAACTTACTATGCATCTCAGAGCTGTATAATTAATAGAGATAACAGAAGAAAAATCAGTGGCTGAGTTGTGATATTGCAGAAGAGTCCTAAATATCCCATGGACTAAGAAAAGAACAAGCAGATGTCTTGAAGAAAGTGCAGCCAGTGCTCCTTGGGGGCAAGGATGACAAAGCATTAGCTCTTATACATTGGGCTTGTTGTTATGTGCCACTGAGTTAACTATGACTCATAGCAACCGTATAAACAAATGGATCTGAACCCTGCCCTGCCCTGTGTATTAAAAGTTGGGTTTGTAACTTTATGAAATTTAACCCAGTCAAATAAAATTTTGCATGAATTTGGGTCAGTTACTTAGAGACAGTAACTGGGGTAATGAGGGTAGGTGTGTCAGCAACAGTAATATTGGCTCAGGATAGAGCAGGGTTCACAGCTATTAAGTGCAGGGTCATTATTAGTCTCAGGCAACTCGGTGGCACATAGTGACAATAAAAATGTCAAAATACTATTCAACAGGACAATAAATCTAGCATTATTTATCACATTTGATTATTACATGCATAAGTCTAGTGATGTACAAGCTAAAGCACAGAGAGGTTGAAAAATTTATACAAAGTCATCAGGCAAAGTTGACGGTAGGGCCAAACTGATCCAAAACAGTTTAACTTCATAATCTCCAGTGCTTAATCACTATACTACCAGAGATGTTTAGGATTAGGGTGTGTTGCTATGTACTTGGGTTTTTTCCTCTACTAAAAGAAAGATGTGTTTTTCCCCCTACCAAAGCCATTTTTTAAAAAGCACATAATGAATTTAGTTTAGACTATAAGCCTTTAGTAACTGAATCATGCTGACATTTGCCAGATATATTTGAAGTTCATGCATCTTTCATTTCATCCCACATAGCCAGGCCTTCCAAATGTTTTCACATATTGAAATCCTTGCTATAAAAAGGATTTAGTAAAGTAAACATGCACTTGAAACACTATGTATTAGCTTTATCCAGCTTATTATTTTCTGCTCTTGATATCCATAATCAAGTTCCTCTCTACTGGATACAAATCAAGATTATTGCTGTGGCACTTGACTATTATGGAATATAAAATCTTTGATCACTACATTTCAAGGATCGAAAAATCTTTATATAATCTCTAGTTATTATGTGCCATTGAATAGAACCAACTCATTGCTGACCCTACAGAAGGTTTTCAGAAGTTGTAAATTTTACGGGAGTAGATTGCCTATCTCTCTTCCAGAAAGCAGCTAGTAGATTTGAATTGCCTCTCTCTGGGTTGAAACACAATTCCTTACTCATTAGGCTGCCAGAGCCCCTCAGTAACTCCTGTATAAGTAATAATAAAAAAATAAAAATTAATAATAATTTTAATAATAATAATATGAATAATAACAATCGTTATTATTTAAGGAATTAAAAATCAAAGGGAATAATATGTTCAGCATATTATTATTAATAATAATACTTTTATAATAGTAATAATAATATTTAAGGACTTAGATGTCAAAATGGGATAATATGTTCAGCATTTCTCAAGTTGAAAGAATAAGGAACAAATGATAACCTTTATTTGTAGGATTCCATGTGCAAAATCTTGAATGGTGCAGGAAACATCAAAAGAAGATAGAAGGAATACACAGAATCACTGTGCCAAAAAGAATTGACTGATGTGAAGTTATTACAAGAAGTAGTATATAACCAAGAACCAATAATAATGAAGAAAGCAGCTCAGGCTACACTGGAGACATTAGTGAAAAATAATCCTCCAGGAACTGATTAATTGAAACATTTCAACAAACAGATGCAGCCTTGGAGTGGCTCATTTATCTTTACCAAGAAATTTGGAAAACTGCTAGCTAGCCACCTGATGGGAAGAAATCTGTATTTGTGCCCCCTTTTAAAAAGGACAAGCAAAAAGAATGAATAAATTATTGTACAATATCATAAATATCACATACAAGTAAAATCTTACTGAAGAAAATTTTGGCCTGTGCAACAATGAAGCTGTCACTTGATGAAATAGGGAGGAATGGTCTCAGGGGCAACTGAGAAGCTCAGTTTTGGATGAATAAGTTTCAGATGACTATGAGACTTTTAAAACGAGAAATTGCAGACTGTTAGGTATGAGTATGGTGGTCAATGCAAAGCTCCAAACTAAAGATTCATATTTATCTGGATGTTGTCAGCA